TGACACTAACTTTCACAATTGCCTCATCAAAAAAAGAAAATCATGACTGCATTTGGAGAAGAATTACATAAATCTAGAAAAATACAAAAACAGGTAATGGACACTGACTAAGCAGTTAGTGTAATGACTTCTGAGCTATTAGCATTGCCAGATTTCTTTAAAAAGGAGTGTTCAACCTCTAATACAAGAGGTCCATACACGAATAACTGGGTGAACCGCGGACCGCACCTTTATTTAACATCGGCTTTCTAGTAGTTAAAATATTTGGTTATTGATCTTATGACATGCGTTGTTCGTTTCGTACAAACCCAGCTGTTAGATCATTGTAATGTTATACGCATAGACAAAAAATTGGACCCAGGTATAGGCCTTGCACAAAGGGATTGTAATTACTTACACATATCAGATAAACTAAATCAAAAACCCGTTTTAGGGTCTGCACACTATTCAAAATTGACACTACTTGCACGCGGGCCCCCCAATTTTTTTTCTTGGGTCGCATTTGGCCCACGAGCTGCAGATTGCACACGCCTTCTTCAAATATATGTTCAAATTTTGAACAAAATTTAATACATAATAACTCTCAATACTGCAATAATAAATAAATTAACGAACAACGAAAATACATTTGATAAAACTAGACTATGCAAGTCAAATTATGAGAACTCTTTTATTAAATACTCATTTTGTTTATTCACTCCTCTCAGCCTCTGCGGTCTAATGTCAGAATATTAGCAACGAATGGATTCAATTATATGAGACACAGACAGTGGGAAGTTTGTCATTCAAACAAGCCACACGTTCCACGATTATGTGGTTTTGAGTCGTGGGTTATACTGAGTTCACTTGATACAATCAGCATAAAAACGGAAACAAGATACAGAGAAACTCAGTGAGGCCTACGCCTACGGTACGGTACTGATTTTCTTTACTGATAATTCATTCAACTAACGTTTCATCTTACGCCAGAAATTGATTAAAACTAAAATGACAAACATTGAGTGTCTAAAATGAGTGTCATAGAGTATGAAATTCACCGTAATATTGTCCCACAATAAACTGAAGCACAAGAAGAAGAAGCAAGTCCGATAGGTTCCTCTTTTTTCCGGGGAATTCCCCGTTATGACCACCTGGTATGATAAAATACATGGAAGCATGAACTGTATTGGACCAATGACATTAATCATTGATTGGACACAAAATGGTTTTATGGGTCGTCTTTGATGAAAACAGTATGAACCTATATATATTTTTATTGGACACGAAATGGATCTATGAATCGGGCCACCATATATCTGAACCATTCAACCGGGATGGTGAGGATTGGACAAGCCACACTTGATATTATTCCGGAGGCTTGTTTAAACGTTTTCCATACCATTAGATTAACTTTAATGGCATCAAAATATGCTGTGTATCCTAGTAAACTATCCTATATTGGGCTTATCTTCATATAATTGAAATCGTTCAACTCTTTGAACAAAACTCGCAATTTGTTTTCGGAATTTTGAAAACCGGGACATTTAGGCGGGAAAACATGATAAAAACGAGACTGTCCCGGCTAAACCGGGACGTACGGTAAGCCTATCTATGAATCGCTTTGTTATTATGCTGTTGTTGTTCTTGTTGGAAACTTACCGTAGTCAATGAGCATATATACAATGAGTGGAAACTTGCAAAGATTTGCTCATTTTGGTATTGTTCCCTGCATTTTTTACGTCGTCCGGCTAAATGGTTCGTTGCATATTTAAGAAAACGCATTGCTCGCTGCCAAAATCCCTTGCTTCAGCCGAGTCGGGTGCGAAATTGGCCGTATTGAGGTCTTTAATTCTTCAATACATATTTGGTTTTGGGTTTCGAAGTATGGTACGCTGAAAGCATACAACTATGAGCATATGCTTATTGGGAATGCATATCTATTAGACAGAAAACGTAGCTACAGTACAGAATATGAACCAGTCGCCCAGTGGGGTGCGGTTATTTATGTATTTATTAGGATAATGAGGATAAGGATAAGGATTTACATATTTATCCCAGGGGAAAGGAAAGCCGATAAGACGACTTATCCATATGGCGAACCACGGCCTCTCGTCCGGTTACCATTCCAAGTCGGGCATGGGATTAGTTATATTGAGAGAGAATTTTTTATTGTTTCGTCAAACCAGAAAACACATACAATATATATATGATAGCAAAATGAGAAAAATTAGATTTCGGTAGATGACAGGGTGGTAACGATACGACCATTAACAGTCATCTGAGTCGGTTACCACCCAAAGCAAGCACATGAATAAATAAATTAATAACACAGGTTCTGTAATATTACACTCTCAGGATATACATATGGAAAAAAAAACTATATACACTATGGAAAAAAAAATGATATCTAATTAGAGATGAGAAAAATTTCTAATCGGGATTAGGAAGTTATTAAATAAATTTTAAATAGAGAGGAGCAAAAAATAAGAATTCCATACCAAATTTATTATTATTTATTATATTAATTTACACTTTCAATCTGTTCTGAATCTTTTGTGCTTACACATGATAAAATATGAGGGATATGATCACAGGGAAATTGAAGGTTCTATGAGTGACAATAATGTGTTGTGTGAAGAAAACCATAGATTGAGATATGAAATATAGGCATAACAGTAGTACAATTTTATATTTTCAATTCATTAGGGTGAAGAAAAAAAGCAGGATGCATATGGAACTTCTGCGAGATTTACACATTACTACGCAAAACAGGTATTAGGATGGGAAACAATCAGATTGGTATTGCAACACTTTACAAATAATTTAGAAATAGACAAATATGTCTATGAGTTGAAATAGATATGTGATATTAAATAAATTTTGACAAGGCTGGGTCAAATTAAATCACGATAGCCCAAAATATATTTCGCCTTGTAGTAATTATTGCATACACGAGGTTTAAACTATTAGAGATTCTGAACAATTAGCAAATTTGTCTATATCACTATTGCACATTAATTAAAAGAATATTGATCACATTAAATTCAATACAGAGTATAATACGATATATATTAGATCAAGGCCCTCCTATCCTTTGTATCTAAATTGCAATTAAGATGAGCAATTATGGGTTATTAGTTATACATATATGGCAAACTAAGGGAGGGAATAGTCAAACTATTGTATGTCACAATCAGAAGAACATAATGTACACAACTACATTATAATATAAACTAAAATTATGACCCAGGGCAGTCTAGTTTCAAGCCATTGTAGTATGAACCACAATTGGATGATATGAAATGGGTGATATGATATATCACATTGTAGCTAAATATGTACTATATTTAAGACTACAATAAGATTAGCACCTTTCACATATTTTGTATATCATTTTCATAAGAATCAACCAAAGAATATATATTACAAATGTACATGTTATTAGTATACTCCAACAGTATGATTCATATTAAATAAAGAGCGACGATAGCATATGATTACTTAGAATTATTAGAATGAAGTAATTACAAAGATCAATTGTAAAATGAAAAGATTTAGCCTATACATTAAAATAACCCGGTTAGAATAGTTTATAAGCATAATAAAACAAATATTTGAATGTACACAATGGGAGTGCTTGATCTACTAATTTTAAGGCACAATTCAAAGCAGTATAATTACAAGGTTGCAAACATACACATGTATATAATACAAGTGAAAGTCATATGTGAGGTAGTCACTATGTTAACACCAATAATTGGTAAACATGCAATAATAAGAAAATAAATGTTGAAAAGAAACTGTGAATATACTATACATGAAATGGCTTATTACATTCTACTGACAGATATACAACTCGATTCTATTTATACAACTAGCATTTTCTGCCGTTTTCTCCTGGTGTAAACTTTAAAAGGCACACTTTAAATGTTGTTACCGATAATATTGTTCAGTCATGACAATACATGAAATGGCTTATTACATTCTATGGGATAGAGATACAACTTATAACAACATAATTTCAAATTTTGCGACATGATGGAAAATAAAATATAAAATAAGAAGCCTTGCAAGAGAATGGCGGCAAAGTCCACCATGAACCATGCAAATGTGTCGCAGCAGTTTGAGGCACAGGGTCGCACAGAAGATAAACAATCAAAGTGCCAATTTATTTATCGACGTCATTTCAACACGTGGCAAAGCGCTAAAATTCGTTTGAATATTTCTCTTGAGAAAACAACAACACCGCGATGAGGGCGAACTTAACTGTGAATCGTAGGGTCGGCTTATATGTGATTTTTATAAAATCGCAGTTTCAAAACAGTTTTTCATGGAGTCGGCTTATATACACGACCGTCGTATAAACGAGAATATGTGGTAAGTTATTGTTCACAGTTTAGGTATGTGGGCTTCAGAATTTTGATAAAAAATGAAAATGTAGGTAAAAAAGCACAAGTATTTGCAAAGTGTGTGAACCAGGTATAAATAACAATTTATACACATATCCACATCAGTATCCAATTTAAAATGGTACTTATTGGCTTTACAGTTAATATTTGGATATGATGTGTTTCATGAACTCAGTTTTAAATTTTCTATATGAAAATGTTTTGAAAATGTCAGGAATGTCATTCCAAATTTTGGGTCCCATGATTCTGATTGAATTTTGAGCAAATTTAGAATTTGTTCGAGTAATAAAAAATGCACCCTTAGAAGCAGAGCGCGTGTTATAAGAATGCACAGAACTGCAGTCGGGTAAAATACGAGATAAATGCCTCTGGTAACATATTATGGTTCTGAATTGGTACATCAATTTAGCAACTTCATAAATAATACATCGTTTATTTTTAGAATATACAAACTCTTGTAAATGGGGCTCATACTATGACGCAAGGGAGTATTAGTTCATAACTCGAAGAGCTCTATTTTGTAGAACAGACAAGAGCATTAAGTCTAATCTTATTTGCGGAACCCCATGCCACTATTCCATACTGTAAGTGAGAAAAAAGAGAGAGAAATAAACAGTGCGCATGATTTTTTTAGGAATCAACCTTTTTAGTCTTGTCATTACTCCAACAGCTCTAGACAGTTTTAGTTTAAGGGAGTTGATGTGGTCATCCCATTTAAGCCTATTATCAATGAATATACCAAGGTATTTAATAGAGTCGCGTACTTTCAAACTGACACCATTTAGAGTGAAATTAGGACCAGGTGCATGTTTATTTATATTACAAGGATGATTAATTAATAGAACTTGTGTTTCTCAGGATTTATAGCTTAATTTATTAGATTTTCATCCACTGGGAGACATTTAGTAGGTTTTGTTCAACTTGACTGGTCAAATCAATAACACTGGAGGATATTGACGTTGTGCTCGTGTCGTCAGCAAAAAGTTTGACAATTGCTGAAGTAGTGTTCACCACATCATTAATGTAAACAAGGAACAGAGTCGGGCCAAGAACTGAGCCCTGGGGCACGCCGACAGAAACAAGTTCATGAGGTGATTCATTGGCAGAGAATGAGACAAATTGATAGCGATTGCGCAGGTAACTAGAAAACAATTTACTGACAGTGCCGCGAATTCCATAATGTTGCAATTTGCTAATAAGTATTTTGTGATCAACTGTGTCGAATGCTTTTTTTAAGTCCAAAAATATACTACAGCCAACCAAGCCCTTATCTATGATTTCATAATATTTACTGATAATATCTAGAATTGCATGTGATGTTGATTGTTGATTTCGAAAGCCAAATTGATCGCTATTAATAATACAATGTTTATTTAGAAAATTTTGAAGGCGACTCAGCATCAACTTTTCAAAAACAATAGAGAGACATGACAGTATGGAAATGGGTCGATAATTGGATACCTCGTCCTTTTTTCCAGATTTATATACAGGAACAACTCTGGCAACTTTAAGATGGTCTGGAAATACACCATAAGGGCCCATTCACATCTGTTCACACCAGTGCGTTATTCTTTAATTGTTTAAGTAAACTTGCGTTGTTGCGTTAACGCATCATTTTGGCGCACTGCGTCAACGCAACGAATTCTCGAGGAAACATTCCTTTGCGTTGACGCGCTGCGTTGTCTGAGATTTGAGTTGAGTTCCGGTGCTTTGTTCTGTGGTTTGGCGATGGCTTTGAGCAAACATCAAAAATTGGGATTACTGTTGTGGCTGAAAAGACGCAAGGATAAAAAAAATAGATGCAAAAGAAGAAGGTGGTGGGTGCATCCTATTTTGCAGAGAAGAGAGACTAGAGGTACGGTACCAGTATTGCAGTATTTTCACAGTACAGCAGTAGGTAGGCCTACCGTACCCCAGTACGGTACCGTACCTGGGTACGGTACGTATACGACTGCACCGTATTTCTAGCCGTTTGTAATAAACAGAATTTGCTACTTACATGGTTCTAGATTTAACAGTTAACATACCATACTAGCCCTTTAGACCGGTGCCATATTCCAGTATTCAGGTATTTGATCTAGTTCAGTAGTTAAAAAGCTGAAAGGTGTTCTGACAGTCTGGACAGTGCTTATCATAGTACTGTAGTATTACGGTACCCTCTACTGATAGTCTACAGCTCATTTTAGTGCAAAAAGTAGTATTTGAGAGGTTTGAAAATATATATCATATTGAATGATTACCGGTACTTTAACGGGTAATATCTGAATATTGTAACGTTAACAGGCGAGTACCACAGGCTTTTGAAAGAGATGAGATTGGAGAGGAGAAGCTATTTTGAGACCTACCTCCGCATGTCAGTCGAAGACTTTCAAATTTTAATAACTTTAGTTGGGCCTGTTATAAGTAAACAAGCTACAGCATTCAGGAAGCCGATACCACCAGAAGAGAGATTTGCAGTAACATTGAGGTACATTAGCTGATAAGTTAGCAAAAGCGGTTCATTATATCACTTTGTGAAACCAAAAATATGGATGAGCTATTCAGAAGTTTATGTCTATGATATAACAGGTTAAGAAACACTTATTCAGATAGCAAATACAAACATTTGTATATCCAGGGATAAACATCACAGTAATCAGCTTGTATCTGATAATAATGTGCACTCGTGTTTGCCATTGGCCGCATATAAAAATATGTTTCCATTTTATGATAGACTATTATTTATAAATTCATTCACACATGAGCATATTTTGTTATTTATTATTACATAATGTGTCAATTGCTTTACTTTATCTTTCATTTTTTCAGATTCTTAGCTACTGGCGATAGCTATAGAACAGGGGTCGGGAACCTTTTTGGTCAAGAGAGCCATAAAATATAAATATTTTCAATTGCATTTCCGTGCGAGCCATATAACATTTCTTCACTTAATCAGGCCTGAAATGTTTACTCAAAAGTCAACACATACAAAGTCAGTATACACTTAATGTGATTATCTGATGCTGCATGTAGTCGCTGCGGGCCTTGAACGGTTGCTCACATGCAGCCCAAGTTGAAATCTACGATACTCATCGCCCTTTTTCGTTTAGGTATCTCCGTAGTGTTTTTAAAACTCTATCGCTTTGTGATGTCACAATATATGTTCCAGAATCCCCTTGTTTGTCACAATGCCTGTCTGGTAATTATCTTACATAACATAGACATGTGCTGGACGCGCCTTCTCAAACGTATTGGGAATTTCCTGCCAAATTTGGCTATAAAAGAGTTTGAAATCTCGTATCAATAGTAAGCTTAGTCTTGGGATATTAGATTTTTTTGGGAGCCATATGCCGTCACCAAAAGAGCCATATATGGCTCGCGAGCCATGGGTTCCCGACCCCTGCTATAGAACTATAGCTAACAGCTATCGTCTTGGCATATCAACTGTGAGCAACATTGTCTCAGAAACATGTTCTGCAATATGGGATGCATTGAGAGGGGATTTCCTCAAATGCCCATCAAGTTGTTCCGAATGGACTGAGGTTGCCGATGTTTTTCACAAAAAATGGCAATTTCCAAACTGTTTGGGCGCTATTGATGGAAAGCATGTTGTTGTTAAATGTCCTAGCAATGCTGGATCGTTGTATTACAATTACAAAAAAACGCATAGCATTGTGCTCCTGGCTATCGTTGATGCATGGTAAATATTAAACCTGATTTTGTATCACACTAATTTGTATTCATAGGTAAACAATTTTTGTAACTTACCACTTGTGGTTGCTTTCTATGAATGGCTAAATAAATTAGAAACCAATTATTTCCCAATATTATGTGGATTATACATGGGCATTTATTCCAAACAGTGCCATCAAGAATTCAATGAAATTCATATTTTTCAGTTATAAATTTCTTGCGGTGGACATTGGCGCCTATGGCAGAGCAAGCGATGGGGGAATATTTGCGAACTCATGTTTTGGCCGTCGCCTGCAGAATGGAACCTTGAGTCTACCCTCACCAAGGTGGGTTATTTAAGCTAGTAGTCCACCTAGACTTGAAAATGACTGCTGATGTTTTTTTCTATAACGAAACAGGCTATGATTTTTCTTTACACCTAAGTAATAAAGGCTTATTATTTTAACAACTTAGTAATAACCCATAAAAATGAAGCATGTTTATGCAGAAAAACCTCCTACCTAAACCTCATTTTGTATTTCTGGCTAAATAGGGCAAATTTATTTTCAGGCCATTGCCAGTAACGGATGGACCTACTGTTCCGTTCGTATTCATTGGGGATGAAGCCTTTCCCTTGAAAGAAAATCTGATGAGACCATTTCCTGGCAATGGTCTCTCGCAGGAGAAAAGAATCTTTAATTATCGCCTATCGCGGGCAAGAAGAATGGTAGAGAGCACATTTGGCATCTTAGCTAATCAGTGGAGAGTCTATCACAGACCAATACCATTGAAGCCCAGCAATATCGACTCTGTCATAAAGGCAACATGCTGCCTACACAATTTTTTGAGAAGAGATGTTGCTGGGGCTGCACCAGTTGACGATAATATTACAGTGTCCACTCAACTGCTGCATGACATACCCGGGAGTGGTGGCCGTGCAACACAGAGCGCACAATCTGTTCGCAACACCTTTGCCAACTACTTTGCAGGGAAGGTGCTGTGCCCTGGCAATGGCACCATTGCTGATCTTTAACAATTTTATAGATGATTACTGAACTGCAGAGGTATTACAAATCTGATATGCTAGTATAATTGGTACTCCCTAAGGATGTGAACCAAGATTGGACACCTGAACCTGGTATGTTTACCAGGTTAGGTTTAGGCCATAATTTATTCAATTTCCTTATTTTAGTTCGGGGACTAGACAAGCGACTCCCTTAGTATTTGTACCTGAAAATTTTGCCTAAACCTAACCTGGGTAGACCATACTAAGTTCGGTGTTGCCATCTTCGTTCACATACTTTCAGGATTACCATATAATCAATAATTGAAAACAATGTGTTCCAAGTAAATTATATTTCCCCAAATTCGATGTTGTACAGAAGCTCGTGAATTTTAATTTTCGCAAGTTGCAAACGTTGTACTGGTAGCCTGCGTAGAGTATCTACGAGGGCTCAATGCAAATTTTTTAGCATCATCACTCTCTGTATGTAAATAAAGGTATGATTATTAGATTGGAAATCATTTGTGTGACACAAATATGCCTCATGGAAAGGTTTTAGAATTAAATACCTTTGTTTGACAAGACTCATGATAGTTTCGTCAAGATCAGTCGCTTTTGTAAGTGCAATCTTTATCAGATGCTGATGTAGTGCAACTGGTGTTCATATTAGGTAAGTTGTCAGCTTCACCACTCATTTGGACATTATTTCCATCTTGGAGCACCACAAGAGTGACATCCTCGTCAATATTTGAAGACGTTCTTTGGAAAAGAGTAAGTTACATGGTCATAGTTTGGGGTTCCGAGATCTGGAGTAGTCAGTCAGTCATTTGCGACCGTTGATACTGTGGGGTAGGGATTAGAAATATTATTGCGTTTGTTACGAAAGCAAATAATACTTACGTTCGAAAGTCGACGTGCTCGTCTAGGAACTTTAGCACCTCCATGAACTTCCATGCTCTATATCCCCCTGCTGCTGCCCCACTCCTCGTAGCCTCTGATTCCCTTCTTTTCTCTTTCCTATACCTATCCTTTGTAGATCTCCATCTGGTCTTACAATCTGTCACTGAAAAGCAATTAACTTTGAAGTTTATTCTGTTATCTTGCATTTACTTAATTTCTTCCTAATTGGTTTTAGATGCAATATAGTAACAGATAACTATTCTAGGCTCATACTCATTTTCTTACCACTTCTTCCCAACGCCTCTGCGACCTCTTCCCACGCCTTTCCCTTTTTAATTGTATCCCTGTAGGCTGCTTCTTTTACAGCGTAAAGACACTTCCTTTTTCTGACCTCAACTATGAGATGTTCTAAGTCCATACCTGCCATACCGATATCTAATCAATCTGTATAAAAATCATTGTACATTTTTCATTGTTTTGAAAATAATAACTATCATTGATATACAACGGCATTATACAATCGCCAAAACGTCTCAAATTTATATCCAAACAACAGCTGTCTTACCTACTCTGCTCTTAAACACAATGCCTATCAAGTTCCTGATCCAAAATACGGGCACCCGGAATATGACCTTTTGACATGCGTCAACGCAACGCAGTGTGAACAAGTTCAGCGCATTGCGTTGCATCTGCGTCAAAATATAACGCAACGCACTGCGTTGGTGTGAATGGGCCCTAAAGCACAGAGTAATTGAAGAGTTTACAGAGTATGGGACTTATGGTATTGCAGAGAAGTTTTATGAGATAAGCTGGTAATTGATCGTATCCAGTTGCTTTGTTTGTTTTTAAAGAATTAATAATGTTTACTACTTCATTTAATGAGGCATCTTCCATGAACATGGACGACTTATTTGGGGCACTCATGAATTTCAGGTGATCATGATCACTTACATTGTGAAAAGCAGAAGATAAGGTTTGTCCAATCTGAGAAAAATAGCTATTGAACATAAATGAAATTTTAGCACTATCATGAACAACCTCCCCTGAGTGCTGGTCAATTAATCTTTGCGTAACATTATTATTAGTTTTTGAATTTATTAATGAATTAATTGTATACCAAGTCTTTTTTGGGTCATTTATATTTTTTTCAAAGCGTTTCGCAAAATATATCTCTTTGGCTTTCTTTTTCAAGTGGCATAATTTGTTTGCGTATCTCTTATAGTGCTGTTTTTGTTCAATGGATCCGTTAATAAAGTGCGTTTATGCAATTTAATCTCTTATTTTGGTTGAGCGCAAGATGCCAGCTGATATCCAGGGCTTTCTCTCTAATTGACGTTCCTTTCTGGTTAGGTTCCTTAGTGGTGCATGGTTGTCACATACACTTAAAACTTTAGAAATGAAATCACTGAAATGAAGATTGAAATTTTCAGGATTAACATTAAAAAGGTCATAAGAGGTAAAAACATTCAGGGCGTCTTGAACAAAGTTAACACTATTAAAATTTCTCATGTCACGTTTTAATTTATGTTGAAAGTGGGAAGATGCATGACTAAGTTGAATTTGACAAAAAATAGGATAATGATCTATCATACAATTTTGCCAAACTAAAGACGAAACACATTTTTCAGATATGTTGGAATAAATATGGTCTATTAAAGTAGCACTTGAACTAGTTACTCTTGTCGGGAGGGTTATTACTGGAATAGTGGCATGAGACATCAACATTTCAAGAAAACCTCTTGTGAATGTTGAGAAGCTTAATAAATTAATATTAATGTCACCTAGTATAATGAATTTCTTTTTATCGAATGCCAAATTCTGAAGCGTGTTGCTAAGTTCGCTCATGAAATCAGATTCATTGGATCCTGGGTGGCGATAAACAATACCAATAACAATGGAAGAAAACTTTTCAAAATGAATAGGTATTTCAACCCAAAGCTCTTCACATGAGTTGACATTTAGCTTATATTTAGGCACCATTAAAGGATTGAGATGAGACTTAATATACAATCCGACTCCACCAGCATGAGTTTTGGTTGGTGCATGGAAAAAATCATAACCTTCAATATCAATATTAACAATTGGGTCTGCTTTAAGTTTAGTTTCAGAAAGTGCTATTACTGTAGGAATTGAATTTAGATCAGATATAATGTTTGACAGTTCATCGATATGCTTTTGTAAAGACCGAATGTTGAAATGTGCCAAAGTAAATCGCTTATCAGGTGTACCCGAAGAGCCTAAGGTGTTATATACATTTTCAATAGTCTCAAGTGATGAGCAGGGTTTAACATTCTCAAAATTGAAATCAGTAGTATCAAGAGGTTCTAATTCATTGTCTGTTATATATGGGCAGCTATAAAATGGAAAAATTGATTTCAAACAAGCACTGCAAAGACTACTATTACTTGTAAAACAGTTAAAGCAATACTGCTGGGCAGCCATTTTACAGGTCCAGTAGGCTACACAAATATATCAATACATAATTTAGGATAATTTATCCAAATCTGAGAGCTTGGTAATTGGGATTCTAGGACTATCTTTAGATTTCTTCAAAAAAAATGTTGCCATTGGTTGTCCATAGTCTCTCAAACATTTTAGACTTTTTTATTAGTCTCGAGTTATAAAGAAGATTGTTCCTGAAATTAGTGAGGTTTTCGTTTATGTAAAGTGAGGTCATACCTGTAATCCCGAAGTCTTTGATTCGTGACGCGTCATACTTTTTGGCTATAAACTCATTCTTTTTATTTCTGTTGGTGAAACGCACAATGATGGGCCCAGTTTTGGACGAGTCTCTTCTTGGAAGACGATGCGAAACTGAAATGTCCAGCCTTTCAACAGTTATGCCCAGTTTTTTCCCTATTCCCACAACTATTTTATCTGTGTTTTCACCATCTTTGTAAGGAATTCCATGAAATTCAAGATTTTCTCTTCTCATATATTGCGCGAGGTCTTCGAAGTCATGATCAAAACGCTGCTGAAGGGAGTTACAAATGCTGAGTAGGGTTTCATTTTTTGCAGTCAGATCTCTCACCACCTGGTCCAGTTTTGCAATATAATCTTTTTGAATCTCGAATTCTGCACCAATAAATTCTTGACTAGCTTTGACAGTGCATAAGTCGGTGTCCAATTTAGTATTGTTGAAACGCAGATATTCCAGTTCTTGAGTTACTTTGGAGAGCTTCTCAACTAATTGGTCAGTCTGGAGAAACATTGTTTCCAGTTTCTCAGTCATTTGTTGGGTATTATTCATGACTGAGTCGTTGATTTGACTTGATATTTTCTTATCGTGTTCAGTTATTGAATCTTCAAGTAGGTCCCTTATGCTCTCTTCTACGATTGCTTTGATTTCGATTTTTAAATTCTTTGTTATGCGTGATTCCATCAGTTCCAATGTTGACTTCAGTTGGTCAATTTTGCTTTCCATTATAATCAGATTAGAACGACTATATAAATTAGTTTTAAGTAAGTATATGCAAGAACCTTAATTATACAGCCTTAATCAAATAGCGAATAATGGAGCTAATTGAGTCATTTTCTTTCATTTACCCCTTTAAATATATGTGGAAGACGAATCCCAAGTCTTGTTAGGCATCCAACTTCGCATTATTGACCAGTGAACCGGCACTCGAAACCAGTAATCATTAGTTTATCTTTCTAACATAGATAAAATGCACCAATGCAAGGTTTCCCAAACTGGGGTCCGCTGACCCGTGGGGGTCCCTTGCATTTTGCGGTTGAGTGTTGTGGATGAATAGCCATTGCTGTTAGAGAACGAGGCAATTAAAATTTCATTGCTTTTTGCAACGACTATTTTTTCAGCTCTTACCAATATGATGACAAAATACAGGTCGAGACTTGCTGTAGAGTCCGACCTACAAGTTTGCTTGTCACAAATTGCCCCGAGAATTGATAAATTGTGCAGTGAAAAGTAACCTCATTCATCACATTAATGTCGTTTGTGTTGTAAATAAAATACTATCCTTCTTTGTTGTTTAGGCAAAGAAATTAAGACGACATAGGATGGGGTTCCATGAAAACTGGGGTTCACAAACAGGTGTCCGCCGGCCCAAAAAGTTCGGGAAGCGTTTTTATTGTTAAGGCAAAGAAATTAATTTGGGAAGCGTTGCACTAATGAATACAGAATGTTAAAAGCGGAGAGACTGATATTTTGGGGTCACGAAAACCAAGACTGGTGATGGAGCAGCGACACCTGTGATTAAACGCAACAGGAATTAATATTAACATAAACTATCGACAAATCAGCATAGGAAATACAAGTCGAGGCGACCTGAATTTCCAGAAGATGCCCTGGAATTGATTATTAGAATAGAATAGAATATTCTGTGGGGTGGCGGACAAAGTAGGAAAAAATTTAGACATGATGGTTCAGCTTACCGTGGGCGACCACCCCACGGCCTAGGTGCCATTCAGCAATTTTCAGATATGAGTTTGTGATTGTGACTAGTCCATAATTATTAGTCATCACTAGGACACAAGAAACAGACACTGCAGTTCTACACGCCGTCTCGGAGAGCAAAAATTTTCGTGATATACACTAGGTGACAATAGAGAACATACGAGTCTATGACCTTTGAACGATTGACCTCTGACTGCAAGAACATTTTTCAGAATTTTAATTTGTATGATATTACTCGGGTAAATGCTTTTCATGCAGTACATTTATAAACATGTAATAATGACCCCTAATTAAAATCCTAACTATCAAATTAACATGACTCGCAGATAACACACAAGCCGCTTGGTGGCAATAAAAAGGGTAGCCATGACGACTAAATTTCAATTTAGGTCTGTAGGATACATTTTTAATTGGATGTTTTTACTTGTTGCGGCAGACCATGTTGCTGCGAATTTATTAAAACTTGATTCAGGAGGACTTGAAGCAGATTCTCGATATTATTCAAGTAAGTACCAACGAGTTTGACCTGCGGATTGCTGACTGAGCCAATAGCTTCGCGCTTCAGGTGTGTGATAACGAAAATTTTATAATTGGCTATATCAAAAAATATCAGGTTATAATTCCGAATTGGCAATGGATTAATTTGGTGAAGGAAGTTGTGACCAACAATTAGGTGTCACTTTTATGTTAAAATTAATAATTAACTTAGCAGTCTGGTTTCGACTTTCGATTACTTTGACTTGTTTTCGACTCTTTTATCCAGAAGGTGCTGACTCATAATATATTTGCCTGTTAAGTTGCTTTTCATATGTAACACTTTCATTTATAATTCTTAATGATGGTGAAAGAAGTTGTAACAAACCAGAGATTACATGTCAATTTTATGTTAAAATTCTAAATCAACTTTGAGCAGTCGTGTCTCGATTATTCTCATTTCGTCTAAAGTTACCGTACTCTCTTTAATAATTCCCAATATTTAAAAGTTGTTTAATGCTAATCCAAATCGGAATTTTCCATTTGCAACTATCATGGCATTTCTTCAAAAAATTTCAGTTTCGACTGGAAGTTGAAAATAAATCATCATGGACAGCTCGTTGTTGACATCAATTGACTGTAGATTGTAGAAATTTGTACAAAATATTGAGTTGCTATAAGAGAATTTGATTAACAACTCTCCAATGTCCTATTATATATCTTCTAACATAAGCTGTGCATTAACTCAGAAGGTGCTGACTCATAATATATTTGCCTGTTAAATTGCTTTTCATACGTGACACTTTCATTTATTCTAGAATATTCTTAATTTACTCATACTGAAGCCAAAACCAATCTTTAAATAGAAGCATATTTTGCATTGAACATTTCTTTTTATGTTTTAATTTTAGATCAAAAAAGGACTTCCACCTATCAACTTTGTTGGAGCAGATATTGAGAATGTGAAATCACCAGAAAGTAGGAGATTAATATATATAGCAAATAGCAATTATTATAATGGTAGATTTGATTATTCATTCTTTAACTAGCTGTAGTGAATTGGTTTCTATAGTGATATTCATGGAATTAGTCATTTCTTCGTCATATCTTGAAGAATAATTCCATGAATATCACTATAGAAACCAATTCACTACAGCTAGTTAAAGAATGAATAATCAATGAATTGGTGTTCAACCCAAGGCCTGGTTAAAATAAATGATATATCCATGCCAGACCCCCTCATCTATACTGAATTATCTGAAAAAATCTTACCAGACGAATATTCGCAACATGACAGTTTTTCTCTTGAATGTGCTTTATGTCTTTTAATAAATTTTTCTTTTCTGCATATAATGCATTTTTTGGGAAGAACATTCTTATTCCGTCTTGCAAATTTGTTACCAATATCTGCAAAAATTTCGCTTGAAGTTCTTTTTGGCTTGATTCCTAATTCAGATCTATTTTCGGTGTCTATGGGCTTCTTTTTAGAACGAGCTCTGTTAATTCTTGTTATGTTCGTGAACTTTGAATAACATTTTTTGTGGCATTGCTTAGTTTTAAGAATATCTTCATCCAACTTCAAAATATTTACTGCTATTTCTTTATCTACCTCACATTCCAAATCTTTCAAGGCTAATGAACTATACCATATCCTTTTACAACTTTTGATCGATATCTCAGTTAAAAGGCCATCGTCACAGTCGTGGTAGTGTATACAGCATGTGGTTTCTGACATAGTTTAATATCTATCGGAATCTCATTGAAATCACCGAACACTGAACCTGAAACGGAACGTAAAAATAATAGCAGTCGAACTACTGGCAGACGACAGTCGGCGGCTTCCCCGTAGCCTAGCAACGATAGCGACGGATAGCGGAGATTTATTACAAAATTGCGCGTAAACGTTCACATCTGGCTGTTTTTAAACGGTATTACAATTAAAAAAAGTTATATAAATTGAAAATATTAAAACATGTAAAATAAGAATTACAAAATACGTCTATTTTACGTTTTTATTCGCAAACCAACCAAGCATGACGAAAGATTTTTTACGTCATTAATCCGATTAAGGTGGCGCGACAAGGCAAGTTTCGGCGCCTCTTGCGCGTAATTGCTCCACTTTGAGGATGTCAACTTTAGTTTACCGTAATCAGGAATCATTTCTGAATCGAATGATACAAAGTTGACATTCCCCCCAAACAGTCACCACCAACCGACACCGTACGGCTTTCGGCCCATGTCTATTTGGCGTAATATCCTTTTAACCAGCCTCGGATATGTAATTGTAATCAGTCCCTATCAATAGTACACAAGGACCGGATATACAACTGGGTGCCGGCTCCAATTAATGGACAGTTTGTTCAGTATACACTAGAAGGCAATAGAGAACAGGAAACCACGAAATGTGGCTTTTGAACTATTGACCCATGACATAGAACATTAGCGTAGAAAACACTATACTGCAAATAAAAGAATACTGTTGACTATTAAATGGGATGATATGCAACATTTCTCACAGTCATAGCGAACTCGATACTTTGCCAAAACTGCGAAACACCAACTGTCACTTGGTGGCAAATAACAGCGTATCCATGGCGACAAAATTGTCCAGCTTTCGTCAGGTTTAAATGCCCGAATATCATAGAACGACTTGGATTTTGGATGGATAAGGCAGGAGAGTCTCAGATATGTAATTGTGATTGCAACCAGTCCATATTTACCAGTTATTAATAGTACACCTTAACGGTATCGAAAGGCATTTGGGCACAGAGCCACTCAGTTGGCGAAAGTTTTCCTAGTATACACTAGGAGGCAATAGAGAACAGGAAACAACAACAATGTGGCTTTTGAACTATTGACCCATTACCTAGAACATTTTGCATAATAAATACTAAACTGCATTTAAAAAATAATACTGTTGATCATTAAACGGAAGAAATAAAATATTAGAAGGGTATAACAACTTTTAATATTCATCAGTTGTTGATAAAAGCAATTTTTTACAGTAACAAGACCTCCAATAACAGCAATTTAGCAAAGGTACACACAGGTCCACTTCGCGTCAAATAAATTATACGTTGTTCGAGAGATTAGCTTGATATAAGGTTTAAACGCTTTCAAGCGTTAACAAGTACGCCGAAACAGAGCAAAATTTTTTCCCGCAGACGAACTAAATTTTACCGATCATTAGACTCAATAGCGCCTTCAAAATATGTTTATATTTTTAACTAATCTTCTTTGCCATTGACAAAAATACGGACCACATTTTATCCTGGCAGAAATAAAAGGGCTGCCTATATGATTGCAAGTCTAACCAATGCGACGGTAGGTGGAACCGGCACTTCTATAGGCCCCGGCAAAGTTTTTGATGGAAGTGCTAATGGGCTCTTAGATTAGCGTAGGCACAGGTGGATGTTTATTTTGTACACTCGTAATTTTCATCGGGAAATATGGTTTGGTATGCTTCCTATTCCAAATTGGTGGTTCCTTCCAAATTGGTGGTTGAAGACTTTACTTAACCCCTGTCCCCCCTTTGTTCGTAATTTATGTGATGTAAAAAATGATGTTAATTATAAATTAAGTTATTATAAATTAGTTATATATTAATAGTGATACATGTACAGTGACCTGTTTTGCAATACTTATTGTAAATTTTCATCCACTGCACTCGGCTTTTCTTATTTATCATGATTGACAACTGCTGTACTTAAGCTGTATTTGAATAACAATCTTATAAATGTTTCAATTTATCCATCCCTAATCATTCCTACTGTATATCCCTAACTTTTAAAATATAAAAATAAACTAAAAGAACAAAAATATAACTGAATTTTTTTTGTCTAATCCCGGGATTTTCAAAATATATAAAAAACAAAGAAAAAGGGAGACTGATCTTTGAACAATATTACAAGTGACCACTGAAGCACCAAAAGCTACTGAGCTTATTAGGAATTATAGTGTGGAATTACATGTCAGTAAATATTGATTGAAATGAGACTTGAAGTAGCCAAGGGAGGAAGGAGCTCATGGAGTATTAGCTTTGATTTTTATTCTTCAGCCTAAATGAAAATAGATTTCATCAAATTGTATTGTTAACCCGTGACTTTTTTTTTGTATTTATTTATTTACCGTCGAGTCAACTTTTAATTATGCCATTGTGGATAAAACACTGTTAGAATTGTTATTTTCATGCAAATCACCTTTCCCAATCAGTCTCCATTGTTTATCCTGTATAAAGCGAACAGTGACTCGTGATAGAAAATTCATTTTTCGAAATTGCCATATGCATTGGCTTTTGCTTAATATAATTATTGAAAAGTGAAATATTTATGTCTTTATGATACAAAACATGATACATAAATAACATGCCGATGAAAACGAACGGCGATTTTAGCAGAAGGCAATTGCACGTGTTATCGGCAACTTTTTCACTTTTTAGAAAATTCAAAGGGGGGGGGGGGTGGAATTGTGAATTCGTGAGTTATTATACGTTCATCGGTGGCGAGGTTCTAAAGACAAAAGAAGGAGTAAACCGCGATCTAAATTTGATTGAAAAGCGCCATATTAAAATACTGAAAATAAAACCGTAAACAATATAAGTTTTGTTGAGTCCCGCGACAGTCTAAAAACGCTTTTCGGGAAAAAATCGTCGAATTTTGTGTCAATGTAGCAACATCTGTATAATAAATAATCAGTGTAATAGACCCGGGTTCCATGCCCAAGACCTTGATTGTCTACAACTAAATTTTTGCAAGGTGCGTGCTGCTTGAGTCTCATTAGGTATGATTCTTTGTGAGAGAATACATGAATCAACTAATATGGTGTATGATGAAACCCATGAACATCGTCCAATCTAGAATGTTTTACTAATAACTATTCACCTGAGTTAGCTTGGGCAAGAAACTGCTGTTCACCATATAGCTCAATTTAAGTCACTTTATTTTTATTAGCTACATACATAAATATGAAAAATTAATCCAAAGCCCAGAAATTGCCCTATTTGACAACTCATGTTTATTATGACATGACTTTTATGGTGGTCCTGTCGGTATCAAAACTTTAGTCCGTATCAGAATTTTTTTTTTATAAAAGATGTTTTTTGCAAATGATGTGATATGCAAAACATGTGATATAATGGTGGGCATAAGCAGTGGCGCAGCCAGGGGGGGTTTTCGGGGTCGACCCCCCCCCCTTTTGAATTTTCTAAAAAGTGAAAAAGTTGCCGATAACACGTGCAATTGCCTTCTGCTAAAATCGCCGTTCGTTTTCATCGGCATGTTATTTATGCCGTGAACGCCCTTTACATTGGTGTTTATTCTCTTTAAATCACAAATTTGTGCCGCGGGAACAATGATAATTATTGTATTTTAGTACTCGCACGGAAATGTGAAAACTGAAAAAGCGTGCAATTGCCTTCTGCTAAAATTGCCCATGTTTTCATCGGCGTGTTATTTAGGCCCTAAACGCCCTTACGTCGGTTTTTATTCTTTCTAAATCATTAATTTATGCCACGATAAACATGATAATTATTTTATTTTTGTACTTTGCATGGAATTGTGAATTCGTGAGTTATTATACGTCCATCGGTGGCGAGGTTCTAAAGACAAAAGAAGGAGTAAACCGCGATCTAAATTTGATTGAAAAGCGCCATTATAAAATACTGAAAATAAAACCGTAAACAATATAAGTCCCGCGAGAGTCTAAAAACGCTTTTCTAGTCGCAAAATCGCAAAATTTCGTGTACATACGGCGCACATTATGTTTGGTCGCCGTTTAGGAACATACCGTCACTAAAATCGAAACACGGTATTGTGGGTGGGATTTGCCTTTTATCCATTACTTTAAAATTGTCGTAGAAAATTTTCGTGTCATCATTAAACAAGGTTGAAAACGCGATTTTTTCCCGGTTTCTGATGGTATATAAGATAAAAAATCCGAAGAATATCCATCAATTTTTATTGTACTGAAATAAATTTTACTCCATGAGAATTTACAGCCGATTTACGGATTTTTCAGGAGGTTTTATCTTTAAAAATAATCGGAGTGTCAGCATTGCGATTGAACGGAGTCAATGTTACAAGCACATTTCAAATTTGTCGAATTTGCAAAATAGAAAAAATACGGATCAAAACAATATATGATAGGCGACGGGCAGTTACCACAAATTTTTATTTTTATGTCGGCAAATGGCCAAGGTATTTTAAAATTGTGAATTGTAAAAATTGTTTTGTTTTGTTGACGCAAACGCTGGTTAAATTGAAGACAATTAAATTAATAAAGCAAGACATTTTAAATATGCCCTTATCGGTCACGAATTGATTACTTTCCACAACAGAAAAATCATTTTTCGTTGTAAACGTCGGCTCCTTTAACAAGTGGCGCAATCGCGGCGATGAATACGGTATGTATTTTTGATTTAACGATATACTTTATATGCATTTTTATTGTACGAAATAAAATTGTACTTTTCGGGATTTTATATCAGTTATTGAGATTTTTCTAACGGCGATAACGAGTTGGCAAGATTCCAAAAATACGTATTAAAATTAAATACCTCGTTTTTTCAGAGAACTAATGTTTTAATTTTGACGTAAGAAGAAGCAACCGCGAGTTACGTTGGACACAATTAAACTAATATATAAAGACATTTTAGAATTTTGTAGTTGTCAGAGATTGAATATTTCACGCGACAAGAATAATCATTATATGCTGAAAAGATGTCCCTTTAACGAGCGCGTAATGCGAAGACTGTTACAGACTGCAATGGGAATTTATGATTTATCTCATTAGGCAAAGGTTCTTTAGATATACACTCGGTGGCAATAGTGAACAAAAAAACTCACATATGACTTTTGAACTATTGACCTCTGACCGGAAAAAATTTTCTATAATTTTTATTTGTACGATATATTATACTGGGTATCTTTTATTGCAGTACATTTAAAAATAGTAATGTAAATCATTAAATATAATGTAAATCATCAAACAAGTGTTAATCGACACGATTCGCAGCTAACTCAATAATTTGTAAAACTTCAACAGCCACTTGGTGGCAACAAGCATGACGTATATCCATGACGACAAAATTTTAGTTTCCGGTCGATAGCGATATATTTTCAAGTGTTCATTCTTGCCTGCTGTAGGGCGGTTCAGAGCCAAGCTGGTTGAAAATCAAGTAAAACTCAATGCAGGAGGGCTTGAAGCAAATTTTCTATATCTTCAACTTTCTCAAACATTATGTATGACAATCTAAATTGAAAGTGAGAGTGCATTTTGCTATTCAATATTAAATGTCCAAATGTGAAAAGGCTGAGGACTCAAATGAGCTTGCAATAGTTTCCAGGCAATTTAATTACAATTAGTAATATATCTTAAATATAAGATTGAGTAATATCTGAGGTTTTGACAGGTAGTTGCTAAAAATAAGCTACTTTTTCAAAATTATTTGCAGGTATTATCCTGTTGTGGTCCCGACCCTTTCAGATCCACCTTTATTGTTTCTGTTTGTCTTAAGTTCATGGTATGTTATTGCACCACTTTTCTCCTTGTCGTCAAAATTTACAACCTGCTGATATTCACTGAAAAATCTTGGGAGGGCATTCACTAGATGAATTTTAACTACCGGTTAGGCAAGAAGAATTGTTAGGAAACTTACTGAAATTCTCTGCAAGGTTTATACTGAACTGCTGAAAATGGTCATAAAATTCATCAACTATTGCCATAGCCTATGCAACTGATTCTCATACAATCAAAATTGTAAATCAAGTCCTATTGGGGTGACCAAAGATACAGCATCTGAGTAGTGACTCTAGTGAGCACCGGTTTTGTCAGAACGACTAGTTTGAATCAGCTCCATTTTCTATTCATAGAAATAAAAGTTTCAAATTAGAATGAATATAGGGTCTAGTCAGACTCAGACAAAAATCGAATACAACAAATAAGCAAAATGATACATATGTATGCTACGTTGAGCTGGTAACTGAGCGATAAATGAATAAATGTCACCATTTATCAGAGTATCTTGTTTCATCTGAATAAAATAACTGGGACTTGTACTCCACTAATTGCTATCTTCACTTACAGACTTGACGTGAGGCTTGATTGATCTGTAACTAGACTCACGACTTGGTGTTTACTGACTTCAAACTCGTAAGTGATTGTGAACATGTTAGACCAGTGGTTCCCAAACTTTTTAGAGTTGGGACCCACTATTTATTACCACAGCTTATGGCGACCCACTTGATTTTAATTTAATTTTCTTTTGTTTTTTTATGACATAACACAGAACACAGCAATGGCTAATCATCGCACAACTACAGTGTTTCCTCGAAAATAAGACCTGGCCTGAAAATAAGATAATAATTTGAATTTTCAAAATGATATTAATTAAACCCTACCGTTAAAATAAATTTAAAATGTGTGTGAGAAGAAAGGTTCATTGGCCTGAAATAAGGTGAAGATCACACCACTATTCAAGATTGTGTTGTGTGATATCACAATTATGATATTTGTCATTTGATTTTTGTATAAGAAATACAAATAAAAACAATGGATGTCTAAATTTCGGGGGAACAGGGTAAGAAGTGCTGTACAGTGTACAAAACTGCTATGCGTAAAAAAGCTGCATGGTCATTCTTTGAGTAGCAAAATTTTGTTCCTTTGAGAAGATTTTAAAAAGGAAACTTTCACAGATTAGCCTGAGCCTGAGCATGCAATGTTTTTTTTTCAGATTTGTATCTTTGTTGAGAACTTCAAAGAATGAAAAGTTTCTGTGACTGAACACATGTACACATTGCCCAATTACAAATTCAGCATGTAGATAAAAGAGTCATATTGAACATTCCATTCCTACAATAATTTCAGGCTGAATGTCTAATGCCCTTGCAGCTCATACCTCTTCTCCTTCAACACAACACAGACATTCAGTAACAACTCAAAAAGGGATTAGATATTGAAAGAGTTAACTCTGAAAACAGCGAAACTAATCAAACTAGTAGAATTCATGATTTAAATTCTTATTGCTTTTTTATTCATGGTTTTTGGTGAACCTGGACATACCTATGCCCGTTTAAAACTTTATTTTATGCTTTTCCAGAACATGGGTGCAATATGAGGTATTTATTTATATTTATATATTTCTTATTATTAAGTGGTTGCATTATTGTGTGTGTCATTTTTATATTAGAATTCGATTTTGTCTTGTTGATATAGTTTCTCAAAATGGGTTATCAAATGACTGGCTTTCAAACTAGATATTTATTGTTTCTAATAGATAATGCCAACTTTAGTTCCATTGTGAACAGGAATAACTATACAATTTGAAGAGCCTTCTTTAGAATGCTAATATTAGAACCTACTGTTGAATGTTTTAATTGGATATTTGAATGTATTATATTTTTACTGAATTGCTTTCTTTTATCGCAAAAGAACCATTTTTGTGGACATTACGATACGGCTATGACATATATCAAATTTTTTGGCATGAATCTTTTGGTTGTGCCATTTATATTAACAGTACTTTATGGTCTAAAAATTTTTCCAAAATAAACATTTTTATTCTGCATAATTATTTGTGTTTAAATATAGCAGCATCTGTATATATAATGCGAAATAATCATAGAATCAGGTTCCACGCAGAAGATCTTGTTAGTCTGAAAAAATTCCCTAACATGCAGGCAGTTTTGATAAATAATATTCGCGACTGTCAACGTTTAAAAGTCTACACTAGGTGACAGTATAGAACAACAAAATATATCAATTTGGTCTTTCAACAACTGACCTCTGACAGCGGTACATTTTATATAATTTCAGCTCAGCTTGAAGTTTTTGTTTTGGTGTACAATGAATAATATTATATAATGCTTTTGTAAACTATAAAATCAGTCATAATTAACCTGTCTCACGATTTTAACTTGATATTTCGTTGGAACTCCACCAACAGCCGCTAAATGGCACTAACGAGCAATGTCTATTTAGCGTAACCATGGCGACTAAATTGCAACTTCCGACCTAAAGTTAGGAATCATCAAGCAGTCTATTTTTACTTACTGTAAGGTAGTCTAATTCTGAGCTAGATCTAACTCAAATAGAACTTATCTAGAAGGGCTTTAGGTAGATTTTCGATATCATTAAACTAACTAAAACATTTTATAGGACCAACATGCTGAAAGTACTATATCAGAACAGGAATTTAGGTGAACTGGCCTAGCCAGATCTGAGGAAGCTAGGTACAGAAATATTGAGCACACTAAAGTTTGGGATTCTGATTATTAGAAATGTTATTAGGAATATAGCTCATTTTATCTGATTAACTCAACTTTAATTATCAACTCAAACAGAATCAAAGAAAATAAATATACATATGATTAGGGGCCAGTCTGGATTTCATGGCCTTTTTGAACGAGAAATCGGGTGTGCAATCAGAAAATCCTGCGTGCAAATAAGAATTTCTGGCGTGCAATTATAGCTCACGGCGTGCAAAACAACTGCGCCCGCATGAAACTGACTTCGACCTAAGATACTTCTCAATACATCCGCGTAAAATTACCGGTATTGGATAAAAAATAGGTTGAATCATAGCAAAAATGGACGTTTGACCTTTGACCCCCAAACATTATTTCTACAGTTTGTTGCTAATTTTAAGAGTGATGGTGCGACTTTAGTTACCGCTACTGGTCAGTACATTCGTGTAAAATTATTGGATGAAAAATACGTCAAATCAGAGCAAAATTGGACATTTGACCTCTGACCCCAAACATTATTTCTATATTTTGTCACTAATTTTGAGAGTGTTTGTGCGACTTTAGATATCGATACTGTTCAGTACATCCGTGTAAAATTATTATATAAAAAATACGCTGAATCAGAGCCATAACTGGCCAGCGTTGGTGAGGAGGCGATCTTTCTCACGGGATTCCTATCATTCAACACGATATGGTGTTTTTTGCTTCGCATTTTTCGATCAGGCCAAATCTTGCAAGCTAGTATTAGTCGACAATTGTGGAGTTATAATTTTTTGGCATCTTTATATTACTAGATTATTGATTTAAAAACTATTTAAACTGATTTACATTGGTGAGCAATTGCAAATTTTCGGCGTGTGAATTGAATTCGCTTGCGTGCATTTTTGTGGAGCGCTAGCGCCCTCTGGCGTACATCTGCCATGGAATCCAGTCTGGATTAGGGGTGGGCATTACTGCATTAGCTAGATAATAATTAATTGTTTTTAAAAAAAACAAACATTTGGAAGCTTTCTGTTGAAACACTCAGAATTTTTCTATATTAGTATTATTAATTCAAAGATGAAATTCATGTGTAAATATTTATTCATTTCCACTTATTAGAAATTGCTTGCAAAAAGTCTTTTTCAGAGTGAAGTGAAGTTGTAAACCTATCGGAGAAGTATTCTGCCAGTCCATACCAATATGACACTAAATAGTGATGGACCGATGATTCAGACTTGGATTAGGATTTAGGATTTTCGTATTTATTGGAGGGAAAGGCAAGTCTACAATAAGACTTAGCCTAAACACGTGTGAAACACAAACAGACAAGCAGTCTCTTGTTAAGTTACCATGTCGGGTATAGCATGGAACACATTTGTTTTAGATGCACTGACTGGTGCTGGCTGTTATCAACCAGTAACTAATTGAATCGTCCTACGACGAGGGTGAGGAGACAAGCAATTCTCTTGCGCATAAATTTATAATGTTTAGCACAATGTGCCCATTACCGAGTCTAAGAGTTTGGTATTGTAATTATATAACTCAGCTTAATGATTAACTATGGTTTGCAAAAATTCAATTCAAACCTTCGCAGGGTATTCAGGGGTGCGATGGAGAGCATATTTTTTTATATGCTCAGCACAATTTACCTATTATAGAGCTTTTTTGAGTTTGATGTTGTAATTATATAGTAATATTTATAGTTTACAAATATCCATCATTATCATATTATTCAACAAATTTATTGTGTGTGCAAAATTTTGATCGAAATATTAAATGTATTGTAGTGCATTTTTAAGGCTGTGATTCGAAATTCAATTTATATCATTCTCATCGAGTACTAAATCAATTATGTTTTTGTTAATTCTGTTTTCGTTACGCACAAAATTTAGTGGTAATTATATGTTTAGATTTGTAAGAACGCACATGAGTGATATACACCGTGTGTTTATTACAAAAATTTCCCTTTTTTGTCATGAATATCCACACTGAAAAACCTCACCGAATTACAGTAATTTATTTAATATTATATATTGGATGTACTCTCACAATGTGTTAATTAATAAAAGATCTATGTATATCGTTACATAAACCAAGAAAACAATGTAGTTGAGTTATCGGTTCCCACAGAAATTAAGCATGCTCTACCATGACTAAGTATCTGTTCAAGCTTGAAAAAAGGCATAATTAGACACATTTATATTGAATTAGTATAACACAAAACATAAAAGGGATCTACTCCATTTTATCAATAGTTGTTTTAAATTGAATTAAATATGTGCAATTATTCTCCTTGGAAAAAAAAAGTTTTAAGACGAAGTTAATCACTCAATACTCGAATTTAAAAAATAAATAAATAATTATACTTGGAATCTTTACGTCAACTCGGTACTAAATTTCTATCAGCTGTATTTTATTGTATGTGTAGGAGGCAATTCTCTACAATTGCTCAAGCAATATTGTAAGTCTTCGACAAAAACTATCTGCACCTACAGGAACATACTTACCTTGGTCAAAACATAGTTTTTTCATATTAGAATTAGAGTGTAACATTTTTAAGAATGAGTCAGGTTATAATCGTTACATAAACTACTAAATTTCTATTGACTGTAGTATATTTTATGGGCCAGAGGCAAGTTTCTAATATTTGAGCAAGCGATATTGTAATTCTGAATATTGTAATGACAAAAATTTTCTGAACAACAGCGACATATTTTGGTCAAAACATAGTTTTTTTTATATCAGTGTGAAAGATTTTTGACTATTTTGGCTTCAGTTGGTTATCTAACAGGGACATTACAACGCCAGTTGTGGTTGTGATAAACAATTGCTCAGATTTACCAGAAACTGTGTATTGTGGCCAAAAAGCAAGAGCAAAACTATACTCTCAAATAATTCAACGACTACCTATGACAGGGTCCAAGGTTGTCGGCTCCGCGGGCCACAAAATTATTTTTGCTTTGTTCGCGGGCCACAATATTGCCAAGAATAGGTAAACAGTGCAATACAAAACAAACACCTTTATTGTGCAAACACATACCATCAGGCTAATAACCGAATTGCGTAAGTCATTTTTGGCGGTTTTGAGTTTTTTATAAAACAGATATTTGTGTAATGCTGCGCACCTGTCTGTTAACTCAGATTTTATTTTAGGAATTCCGAAACCCATAAAAATGGAGATTTTGTATGACATGTACATTTGTGCAATTGTTTCGTCATAATGAATTATCATTGTTACCACACGATTATTGTGACGTCACAAATGCAAAATAACCTCTGCGAGGGATTTTCGAGTTTTTGCATCTCAGATTCTAGCTTAGCGCTTATAAATTTGAATGCATACTTCAGTAGGCGTGCACTTGTGATATTCACTGTCTGAGTTCAATTCACCTTGGTTGGCTTTTATATATGGGTGCATTGCTGTTTTATTCTTTATATTTAGTATTAGTCTTATTTCGGCGGGTGTGCAGAGCGTGTTATCTTGATGAAATATATATTTTTAAACATAAAAAATAATGTAGTTGAAACAGAATAGCTACTTTGGGGATTAGAAATCGTAGATACTGAGAATTACATTCGTTTTTAGATTGTTTAGTTTTCAGGACTGGTGCATATAGTCAAGTTGCAATATTGCGTATGTCCCCAAGCCATAGACACATTTCTGCCTAAGTCACAGTGCGCCATTATGACGTCATAACTGCGTCATACAAATTAACTTAAATCCGGCTACGATCAAAAAATTGAACCATGGCAAATTATTGACACTCAATTGCATAACAAAATCATTAGGAAGTTTTTCTACGTTTTTTCTCAAAACTGCTAAAAATGACTTACGCAATTCGGTTATTAGCGTGACGATATGGTAGTTATCAGGCCCGACCAAAAAGTTAGAAAGCCAGCCATAACACTATTTAATGCAGTGACATCAGTGATGAAAATATGTCAAAAGGTTTTTCTGATTAATTTTATGACGAAACAACACAAAATGCGATATTTTGATTACTCTCCGAATGTGACGCGGGCCACAGATAATGAAGCGGCGGGCCTTGGTTTGGACCACCCTGACCTATGACATCGTTTATCTAGAATATACAAGTAATGGCATACTTTGATAGGCCAGATTATTGCAATAAAGTTGAAAACTAGTCCCTTTAGTTTTGATTATAACATGAGAGAATATCGTTTTTGAAATTCTAAAATTGTAAAATTTTCAAACCTCACAGCTTGTAATAAATGATGTGTTATCAGATATTTTTTCACCAAATATTGCATTCTATAATGATATACGGTACCTTTTAAAAGCTAAAATTTATTTTTCGATTTAGTTGTTCAGACCTAG